TTCATCTGTGCTTGTTTATATTTTCCTTTGGAAATACTTATTGTGTTTGTCCTGTCCCCACTGTGACCAGTCGTGCTGTCTACTGTTTTTGTCCTGTTCTCGCCTCCACTCGCTCCAACACCTCCAGCTCCCCACTGGAGTGCGTGGGAACTGGATGGGCAGGCGGGAGGACCTCTGGCCAAAATATACCTGGTTTCAGATGAGGAAGCTGAGGGTCACAGAAGACCAGTAACGGAGCTGGGAGGAACTAGAATTTTTTTCTTGCTCCTAGCACAGGCACCTTCCTTCCCTCTTCCTCAATGCCTTTCTGAGGGTCTGCTTGCTCAGAAGAGGCAGCACAGCCCCTCAACCTGCACGCCAGGCAAGCTCCAAGCAAGTGGAAGGAAAAGGTGGCCCTGGGGGTAGCATCTTAGGAGGGTAAGACAAAAGGATGTGGTAGCTTCCTGGTCCTGCCCCCCCATTCCCCTTCACCTCACTGACCCTATTCCTTAAGAAGGTAGCTCTGCCATGGTAACCCTGAAGAGACAGAGCGGGCCCCTCCATGGGGGAAGGCATACTCCACGAACAGTAACATTAATGATAGTAACCATTACAATACCATTAAATATCGATTCTACCAGGCGCATCGTTTGCATGAAAGTATTATTTCCTGCTGATAATTTCATTCTCATTTTATAACTGACAAAATGAGATCTGAGAGATTTAATAGCTCGGGCAGGACATGGTAGGGGACAGAAGGTGGCTTGAGATGAAGTGGAGACAGCTTGTGGAGTCAAGGGAGAGGGGCTGGCCTCCAGGCAGAGCAGGGCAATGCTGAGAGCTCAGTGTGGAGAACACAGGTCGATCACGGGTTTCACCAAGCGCTCAACCTGCTGTGTAACCTGGGGCAAGTTATTGACCTCTCTGGGTGGTCGGGGCTCCCTAATCTCACCTCTCACTCTTTATAGGGCTCTGTGACTTGGGCACACTTCTGGGAAGGGCAGAAAAGGCACAGTTTCCCTGTTGGGCCACCTGCTTGAATTCTGTCCCAGGGTCACCAAGCTGCATAGCAAGCCGCTGTGCTCAGCGGGAGGTCGGGCTTAGAGCCAGAAAGCAACAGCAAGGCTTCCTGCCTGGGCTCCATCAACAGATCTATCACCTGGGCTCTCTGCTGCCTGAGAGCTGGAAAGAGTCTCAGGCCTGCTGTGAGAGAACCAGCACCTGTGAGCCCCACAGAGGCCTCGGGGACAACCAGGTGCCAGGCACAGATCTGTCTGTCTGTTGGGTCATTAGGCGATTCGAGAGCTGCAGGTTACAACAGACTCCCCTCTTCTGGAGTGCCAGGGTAAGGGTGAACCAGCTTGGTTATCTTGGTGCCTTGTAACCCAAGGGTCTGGGCTGGGTTTGAGATGGAGAGAGAAACTTCCAGCAAGAGCCGATAGGGCTGTTGAGTCTGCACAGGTGCTTCACTCTTAAGCTCCAAGGCCATGGTGAGTGGCTGACTTAAAATCTTCTACTGCTTAGCTGAAAAGTGGGGGTAATAAGGTCAGCGTTGGAGGACTGGCAGAACTTAACAAGCGAATACAAATGAAGTGTCCGGATAGAGCCTGCCAGAGCGTAGATAATAAAGGGAGGCTGCCATTACTATTGTGGCTACTGGGGCAATAAAAATAGCATGATGGAGTTCAGTGGTAGAGCAGTAAAGTACTTGCCTAGCACTCGGGAGGTCCTGAGTTCCATCCCCTGGCATCGCAAAACAAACAAACAAAACAAACAAACCAGGTAATAAACAAATAATAACTGAGGCACCAAGGGGCCTGGGAGTCAGATTTTGTACCCCTTCTGTGTGACTCCTGTTACACCCCCCTGCCTTCTCTGTAGGAGGAGGTGATGGCCCCAGATGACCCCCAGGCCCCTTCCTTCTCTGACAGCTTTAGGCTATGAATAGAGGGGGCTGGGGCCTGGAGGAGTTTGATGACTCAACAGCTAGGGAGGGCGAGGTTTCCCAAGGAAAGAGTTTCCATTTGTGTCTGGTGAACTTGGGGAGTAGGGAAGGAAGGGTTCCCTGCCTGATGAGGGGGTGGGAGTGGAGAATGTGACTAACCAGGTGAATGACTAAGTCGGACCCTGCTGACCTTCAACCAATCAGGGCTGCTCGAGAGCATCCTGCAAGTTGGCATCCCTGGGCACTTGGTACTTCTGCCAGGATGAGCCTGGGCTTCATAGCATATGGAGGCAAAGGAAGCGGCCAAGAGGCCAGCAGGACACAGCCCTGGGGTGGAGTCAGAAGCGCCAGCTTCCCCTTCTGCGTCTGCTGCCCATCAGCCTGGTGGCTCTGGGCAGGAGATCCATTCCCTCACCTGTACCCACTGCCCAGAGTCACAGAGCTAACAATCCCTGCTTGGATAAGCACACTGAGTTGTGAGGGCTGAGATCCAACCAAGTGATAACAACATTGTGGTCTCTAGACGCTGACTGAATGGACAGCTCTGTCATTTACCCAGTCTTAGCCAGTGGGATTGACCACAAGATGTCCCCAAGGAGGCAGATGGGTCTGGAACAGGCTAACAACGTTGTCACATAGAGTCCTTTCAGGCATCCCATTACTACCCTGAGGACAGCTTCCAGCTAGGTGGCAGAGCCAAAGTGAGAGGTGACAAAAAAGTCAGGGGTGGTTCGGTGGGGTAGGGAGTAGGCATTGCTGGTCTAGGTGGTGTCTTTCTTTTTGACCAGCACTGTGTAAATATCAGCAGAAAGGTGTTAGGCTGCTAGCCCCGGATTCTAGCATCTCTCTAGGTAAGAACCATGGACAGTTTGGAAAGTCACAACAGGGTTGGAAGGAAAGGGTACTGCCTCTCATTTCTGCACACATTAAGCCCATCAGCAGCATTCTTCAGTGCTCATAGCTGTTGGGCACCTTGCTAGCTCTCAAAATCACAGAGATGGGCTTTGCCTACATGGGCATTAATAATGCAGCATGGTTAAAAAGATAAAACAAAACACATCCTTAGGATGTAAACATTTAAGAGTCCATACTGGGTCACCTAGGTCATAGTGCCAGTAAATGCTGCTGCAGTCCTCAAGGAAAGTGGCCCTGTGAGGCTTTGCATGGGTGTGTGTGTGGGGGGGTGTTGAATTGGACCTAGAGAGCTAGATTAGATAGCAAAGGGAAGGCAGAAGAAAAGGTGGTGTTGGCTAGAAACATGCTAAGCATTCTCTGGGGGATGATTTGGAGGCCATAGAGAGAGGTCATCCAAGTAAGAAGTAAGGAATAGAGTCAGGCATGGAGGTGGAGGGCGGGGTGAGGAGCATGGGGCAGTGGGGAGAAGCCATGTGGGCTTTGGTGAAGCAGGCTGGGGCAGCTGTGCATTGTCTGGGAGGATGAGGCTGAAAGCAAGGAGGTCAGCTGGGAGGCTACGGTGAAGCAGGGGACCCAGGGACGTAGAGGAAAGTTGTACTAATTGGGGACTTGGTGTGGGAAGAGGGGGAGAGGGAACACAGACCACATTCTGGTTTACAGACAGCTAACCTGCTGTAAAACTGTGGGCAAGTGGCAGGTGGACGTGGAGGGACGGGCCCCAGACCAAACCTGCTCTTTGGGTATGTCTGGGTGTTCCTCTCCTGGCTGCTGGAGAGCAACCGAGCCTCAGAATGGAATTCTGCAGTGGGGAGACAGTGTCCAGCTCTTCTGTCTTTAACCGGCTTCCACTCCTGTTGACTCCCAGGAAAACACTGCCATCTTCTAATGGGCTCTGCCAAATGGCAGTGAGCCCCTGGGAGTTCGGCCAAGGCAGGGGGTGGGGGTCAGGATGAGAAGGAGTGGGGAAGATGGAGGAAATGGCTCCTGGAGGCATCCCAGTGGCTTGGGAGAAGGTGGGTTCCCAATCTGAGAGTCCAAGCACGTCAGGGCTGGGAAGAGCCCTTGACATCATTTTGGCCAACCTCTACATGTTGGGACATGAGCCCAAGATCCAGGCAGGAGAAGGGACTTGCCCAAGGTCAGTTATGGAGAGGGTTAGTGTTGAAGGGAGTCCTGGGAATGGTAAGGGAGTCACGGAGTCCTGGGAACGGTTAAGACGTGTAATCCTGGCTGACACTGACACTTGAACAGCTTAGTGAATGGCTTGGTCCGAGATGCCTTTTCTGACAGACACATCTCTCTCTCTCTCTCTCTCTCTCTCTCTCTCTCTCTCTCTCTCTCTCTCTCTCTCTCTCTCTCTCTCTCTCTCTCTCTCTCTCTCTGTGTGTGTACCTGTGTGCCATGTTCTCAGGGGATCTGAGTGTGCGTGTGGCGGCCTCCTACCTGCAGCATGATCTGCTCTGGCTTTGAAAAAGAAGTAGGGCCATTCCTATGAGGTGACTGTTTTGCTGGGACACTAGGGAAGAAGGCTAAGAGGATCGAATCTGGCTCCCAGCCCCTGCTCTGCTGCCCTCGGAGAATTACAGGCCCTGTCTGGTGCGGCCCAAACTCGTGGAGGTGGACACACACTCACACACCCACACCCACACCCACACGGACACACGCACCCCAACCCCCTCCCCGGCAGCACTCAGTCGCAGTTAAGAGAGTGGCCCGTGTGTCTCGGAGTGCAGTGTTACGGCATCTACGTGCCTCTCCACAGCCCGGCAGGTGTGGACACCCGGGTGCCCAAGCCCAACGTCAGGAACACGGAGGAGTGGCATGCTCCCGGGTCGCTCACTCTGGGCGCCCAGCCCCAGGGCCTAGCCCGGCCACACCCCTCCTCCCGAGCCTCAGCCGGCTGCTCCTGTCCCTCTCACACACTTGAGTCCCCTGGGGTCCTCGCACAGCCCGGCAAGGCCAAGTTAGGGCTTGCCGAGCTGGAGACAGGTCGGAGTCAGGGGTCCTCCAGCAGAGCAGGCGCACCGGGCTGAGCCCCGGCCGCTGGGAGCGTGCGGGTTCGGCGGCCCGCCCAGCTCCGCAGGGACACCCCAGCCGCGGGCGGCTCCCCAGCATCCCAGGTCCCCGCCCCCGTCCCCTCCGGCGCGGCGAGTGTAGTTACCGATGGTGGTGATGACGGTGATGGCGAAGTAGAAGGAGCCGGCGAAGCGCCACTGCACGCCGGCCTTGTGCGGCTTGAGGCGCAGCACGACGCGCTCCAGCTCCTCGTAGCCGCCCTCGCTGAGGTTGTAGCGCGCCCGCAGCTCCAGCTGCCGCAGCTCCAGCCGCTGTCGCTCGATCATCTCCGGCTCCGACTCCAGCGCGTCGAACACCGCGGCGCCCACCAGCAGGTAGGTGAAGGTGCACACGATGAGAGCCAACGTGCGCACATTCTGCCGCTTCATCGTCCCTCCCGGGTCGTCGCCGGGCCCCCGGCGTCTCCGGCCCGCGCCCCAGCCCCGGCCGCCGCCGCCGCTGCTGCCCCGGAGGCGGCCTGGGGCATGGCTGCGCTCGCGGATCTCCACGCCGGGCACCAGCTCCGCACCCCGGGGCCGCCACCGCCGCCGCCGCTGCCGGCCGCCGCGGAGCTGTCCCTTCAGCACCACCCACCGCCCTCCTCCGCCCGCCCCCGCGCCCGCCCCCCGGCCGCCGGCCGCCACCTCCTGCCTGCCCTCCCGCCCAGCCAAATAAGGACTGGGGAGCCTCGCCGAGGGCGGGGAGGGAAGGGGGAGCGAGCGGGAGAACCCGGGCAGGACAGAGGCGGGAGAGAGAGGGAGAGCGAGAGCTGGGGGGGGGGCAGCAAGATGGGAGAGGGAGGGAGGGAGAGAGAAAGACAGAGAGGGAGATAGAGATCCAGCCCGCCAGCCCCAGAGAAAACTAGGCAGGGAAACGGATAAACTACAGGGAAGGGAGAGGACTCGGGGCAGGGGCCTCTGTGTGTGTGTGTGTGTGTCTGAGTGTGTCTGAGTGTGTCTGAGTGTGTGTGTGTGTGTGTGTCTGAGTGTGTGTGTGTGTGTGTGAGAGAGAGAGAGAGAGAGAGAGAGAGAGAGAGAGAGAGAGAGAGAGAGAGAGAGAGAGAGAGAGAGAGAGAGAGAGAGAGAGAGAGAGTAGAGACAAACCAGAGGTCCACACAGACCCAGGAGAAGGGGGATCTGGCAGGAAAATGTGGTGCATAAGATGCAAAAAGAGGACAGACTGAGATGGGAAACTTGGAGAGCTGGAGACACAAATGTCCTGAAAAGGGGCAGAAAGAGGAGTGGGAAGAGCAAGACGGGGAAATCCCCTTCTCTACCCTTTGCCCCAGTCACAGGGCTGGGAATGGAGGGGACCTTGGGCCCTACTGGCCTGCTCCTTAGCATCCGGATGGGGAAACTGATGCACAGGAGGTGAGGTGACACATAGGACACACTCGGAGAGTTGGTGACAGGACTGGGGCTCAGGCAACGCCCTCCCCATGCAGGCCACACTTCCTTCCCCAGCAGGGATTTGCTGTGGCCAGGGGTACATGTGAGCCACTACACAAGGGAAAGCCGTCTCTCCCGACACAGACTTCCTTCCCAGGTTAGCACCAGGCACTGGCGACCGGCTGAGAAAGTCAAGGCTGGTAGCTGAGACCGCCGGCCCCATCTTGATATCTATGGCCCTTGTCCTGCGCCAGCCTGGCAAGCAGGACTTGGGCTGAGCTGCATAGATAATGCAGAATTGCCCCCTTGAAGCACAGATCAGGAGTGGGTGAGGACCTAGTTGAAATCTGGGTGGGGTGGGGTTGGGAGTCCAGACCTAATGAGTCACTGATAGACTGGAGAGACTGGGGTAGGGGGCCCTCTGCCTCGGTTTCTTCATTTGTCAACATAGGGGGGCTGTGGCAATGAAGAGGGAACCTGATCAGCAGTGGGAACTTGGGCAAAGTGTTACCGCCCCTCTTGGAGCCTCACGTCCTTATCTCTTCCATGAGTTGTCATGGCAGATGATCCCTGGGGCCTTACTAAGCTCCAAACAGTTCTGGACATGGATGGTCTGAGAGAGCAGAATGACTGGAATGCAAATTCCAGTGCCAAGGAGGGTCAAACAGCCCTTCACGGGACCCTGGCATAGGCTACATAGAGAGACATGGAAGAGGCCCAAACCCCGTGGCTCAGGAGGCAGCAAGCAGGGGAGGGCACCATCTGCCACATTCTGGGCTGGGATGTCACTGCCAGGCACCACTCTGTATCCAAAAGCACCCCAGAAGAGCTACCAGCCCATTCATTCCACCAGGGCACATCGTGGTATCTTTTGGGGGTATGCCACACTCACAACCTTAACCTTTACCTTGGCCCTCAAAATTAGGTCTGCTTTTCTGTAGGACTGTCTTATAGATGGCGAACCTGAGGCTAACGGCATCACAATCACCTAGAGTCACTGAGCTGAGAAGAGACTGCCTGTTCGCTTCTCAAGGCCACACACTCTCTTCTCCTTGAGTCCTTGGGCCTCATTTCCTTTTCCTTCTCTAAAATGGGTTTGATCACTATGCATGAGCAGCCTGAACAGTTGGCTTTAGGGAATCAAAGGAAACTGTATGTGTGTGCGGAAGAGCATGAGACTCTCTCTGGACCACAGCCTGATGACAGGACCTTGAATTCATAGCACCCATGTCCCATGTCCCCTCTCCCCACAAAGGAAGGTCTTCAACTCTTTGAAGAAACAAACTGTTTTCCCTTGGCCTTGGATGCAGCTTGTTGGGCATTTGTGATCCTGGCATTCTTTGGCTGCAGGAAGAAGAGTCATGCCCTTCCTGGCTCCCGGTGGGGTGCAAATTTGGCTCTGTATGCTTCTGATGTGCTGGTTCCTGGTCAAACTCAGCCCAGAAGCCAAATCTGCCATGGTCTCTCTGGGTGTGCAAGCCACTCCCTAGAGCCCGGCTTGGTGTGTGTGTGTGTGGGGGGGGATGCTGTCAGAGTTTTCCCACTTCTGGCTACCAACCCCAGACTGCTATACAAATGAAAGGCGATATTATTAAGTGAGAGAGCTTTAGGAAAGGGAAAAGCTGTCTTTGGGGCAGGACATTTATTATTAATTTTGATGGAACTTGTTCTCACAGCTCTTAAGACCTAGAAAGACTCTTAGAGACCATCTCACTCAGCGTTCTTGTGTTACAGATTAGGAAACCGAGGTCTCAACAGTAAGGAGAGGGGTTGTGAAGGTCCTACAGTGAGTACGATGGGAGCTTATGCAGTATCCATTATAGATGGGACCAGAACACCTGTATTTCATGTCCTGAGTTCCAGAGGACGGCCCGGGTCTCCTTATCCATCCTATCCCCAGTGGAGGGAAGGTTGCGATGGAGGATCATGCTGGCACAGTTAAGGTTTTTGATCAGTCCCTGGGGCAGCGGGCATGACCTCATCCATCTTCCTGGTGATCTGGGGTGGGCTGCATCTGAGACTTACCAGCATTCCTTGGTTCCTTCTGCACAGGACCCTTGGACCTGTCCATGCCCACCCAAGGTCAACCTGTCTCTGCCTGTGTTTGCTGCAGCATTGGAGGCCAGTGACTCCCATGCCTGCTTCTCGAGTTCTGCATCCCTAAGTGGAGGGTTTGGACCAGAAAACATCAACATGCCTTTCACTTGTAACTTTCCATGACCTTCCTGGCCTGATTGCATCTGTTTACTTAGTCCTCTTGAGAATTAGGCAAAAAGGGAATAGCCACTTCTTTGAAGACTAGTTTGTGAGGAAAGAAACAGCAGCAAGGTTAGGGTAAATTGTTTGGAATTTATCGTTCACTACGATGCTTTATTGTATACTAAACATTAGACACAGTCATTTCCAACTTAACACACCACTCCATCCATCCATAAGCTCTGAACACGTCTGTGTTCTCTCATGCTTCATGGGACTTCAAGGGCTCTAGGGCCCCCATCAGTTAGGGTGCGGGCATCTCCTTGCCTCTCCCGCCTTCTTCTGCCAACCAACTCAGGCTTCAAGACCCAACTCAAAGGCGACTGTCTCCATGAAGCACATCCCAGTACCCCGTCCCATCCGAGCAAATGGCTGCTTTGTGCCTCTGTGGACTCCTGAGCTTCAGTTCCTCTTGCCTTGTCAAGTAGATATTTGCTCTTATGATTTCCACACTGACTTGATAGCTTTTCCTGGGCAGAGACCCTTTTACAATGCTGTTCTTCCCACAATGCTTTGTATATCCAAGTTGCACTGTACATTTCCTTAGGTCCTTGGGACATGAGCCAAGGCCCGGAACAGTCCTGTCTCTGCTGGGTTTGTAGCCAGATTGAGTGATAAAGGGACTCAGACAGTTGAGTCTGGGATAGAAAAAACCTCAGTATCCTGCTTCCATGCCTACAAATAAGGCACTTCTCAAGCTGGAGCAAGTCCTGCCAGGGAGGAGAAGGGCAAAGACTCTCCAGTGTCTGAAGGGCTAAGGAAGCATGCTGTGTAGCATGAGGACGTTGAGCTGACGTAACAGGCCAGAGGCTTGGGCCGAGATGCTGATGCTGCTTGGTGAATTGGGGGAAGCTTTGTGGCCTTTCTGCCTCAGTTTCTATTTCTGAGAAATAAAGCTTTAGCCGTGTCCTGATGATGCTCTTGCTCACTTTACAACGATCAAGTGTGTGAGCTTGAAGAATGGAGGCAGAGACTCTCCATCCCGTTACTTCTTATCTCTGCTGCATGGCTGGTTTGGTTGGAGACTAGGGCAGGACCAGGAAGGGAAGGAGTGGAGAAGCTGACCTGGAGTCAGATAAACCTGGTTCAAGGCCTGAGCCATCAGTTATGAGCTAGCATAGAGCCTTGGGGAAGTGCTGATCCATCTGTCTAGAGCAGACTAAAGGTTCCCACAGGACAGGAACAAAACTTTATTTTTATTTCATTTTTTCCAAATCTCACTCATAGGCATGAGCTTTAGCACAACTGTCATGACAGAGGAGGCACTTCCAAAACTTTCCTTGTGTCCATCCTGCTGGCTCCAGTCACCTGGGTGGGCTGGTGTCATTTGGGGCTTCAGAGAAGCAAGCAGAGGCATGGGAAGGGGTTCAGAGTCATCTCAGTATCAGCCATGGAAGGATTGAATAGCAAGAGGACCAGGGTTCAGGACAAAGGCAGAAAAACAGGGGCCCCAAAGTCATGGCCCTGGACAGTGGGTTGTGGGTGTGACTGGGGGGTTTCTCATGTATCTCCGGAGGCAGTGAAGTTGGGGATTAACTTGGCTTTCCAGAGCATAACTGGTCCCACAGCAACGGCTTGCGTTTGTCAAGAGCCACTGTTTGTTTAACATCTCAAGCCCAAGTCAAACACAAAAGGCAACTGTTAGCAAAGCTAGGCTCTGAGGCTGTTGGGGGAGAACTGTGCTGGGAAGCTGAACACCTGGCCCTCTTAATCCTGCTGTAGTTGGGCTGTGTGGCCTAGGGAAAAAGGCTGTCTCGAGCTTGGACAAATGAGGGCTCAGACTTGAAGGGTGCAAAAGCTGAATGAGGACCAATTGGTCTCAGAAGGTGCTGGGGAGCTCAGGATGGCTCCAGACCGTCATTTGCATAAACATTAAATCCTCACCCTAAACCTCCTGTCCTATGTCTGA